AAAGAAATACTCTCAATAATAAAGCTGGTAGACATAAACCCTGAAGACCAAAAGTGTTGAATCCAGGAGGTGAACACAGATGTGTGCCATATTTTATTTGCTTAATTTTTTTTTTTTTAACAGCTTTCTTCCCCTCATTGTGTCGGCTTGTCCCATAAAAACACAGTTAGACGTCTGTGGTTAAGAAAAGTTCAGAGGTTTGAATCCTAAAGGGTCTGTTAGTGTTAGAGAGTGAAGCAGGTTGCATGTAGAGAATAAGTCTCCCTCCGTCTGAAGCCTCAAACGGGCGATGATGCAGACGTGTTCTGGCAGATTTGATCAACCTACAGCCTGCAGAGTGTTCTGCGTTCTCCTACGTCTGAATTAATCTGCTTATCCAGGTCCAGATTGGAGGCAGGGAACCACATGTTACAGCGAGATGGAATCAGGTCTGCTTCGTGGCCATGTGGTCAGCTTAGACGCAGCTGCTTGTCATCATGATGTCTTCCAGGTAAATAGAATAGAACTTTATTGATCTCGCAATGGAAAAATTCACTTGTGCCTTCGGCTCTTATTTTCGCATCTCTGATGTTGCTGCTATTTTCCAATTACTGTAAAAATGTCCATAGCTGGATATAAGTTATTTATTCTCCAGGTGCAGTTTTATATTGTTAAAACACTTTACAGTACAATATTTTATTGTATATCTTTTAAGTCTTTACTATTATATTATTTTTATACATTTTACTAAGTTCCACATTTGTGTGACCATTTTTTCTATGATATTTTAGCTGCTGTAAATAGCAGAATATCCCCATTGTGGGACAATAAAGGGATTTTCTATTCTATTTTATAAACAAACAGGAGAAGCATAAAGTATAAACCGTGCCTCCAGATATATACAGTGGGTGGTAAAATGATTTGAGGTGACTTATATACACAGTAAAATGGAGGCAGATAAAGTGCAGTTTCTGGTTCGTTGAATAGATAAATAGTAAAAGTTATTACAGTGTTATTACACCAGGTTATATTGCAGTGGCTTTAGTTTTAGTCCGTGAGGCAGACACCCTGTCTACTTTTAAGGCTAGGCTTAAAACTTTCCTTTTTGATAAAGCTTATAGTTAGAGTGGCTCAGGTTATCCTGAGCTATCTCTATAGTTATGCTGCTATAGGCTTAGACTGCTGGAGGACATAGGGACCCCTTTTTCATCATTCCGCTTCATTCTATCTCTATTCTCCCACTCTGCAGAATCTGTTAGTTCAATCTCTAACGTTCTGCTCTCTCTGCTTTTTCTCATAGTAGCTTCATCTGGTCTGTTCCTGTTTGGCTGTGACTCCATCCTGGAGAGAAATATCAGCTGTGCTGCTGCCATCAACACCTTTGTTTATAGATGTTGGTGCTTGGCCTGTTTTCCAGTGTAGTCCTGTTTCTCTGACTGTGACTAACTGGATGTGCTCTCTTCATCCTCTGACATGGGAGCTGGCTCGGAGCTCGTCTGCCTGGCTGTGTGTTTCCTGGACGGGGCCGCCTGTGGAGCTGGTTGACAGTTGCCTTTTGTATCTATGCTTCTTTTTCTATGTCTGCTTCTGTCTCCTTGAACCCCAGTGGGCCTCAGCAGATGGCCGCTCACACTGAGCCTGGTTCTGCTGGAGGTTTCCTCCTGTTCAAAGGGAGTTTTTCCTCTCCACTGTCGCTACAAGCATGCTTAGTGTGAGGGATTGCTGAAGAGTCAATGAGTCGATGCAATCAGCTGGTTTTCCTTAGATAGAAAACTTTGAATCATCTTGACTGGTTGATCTGGTTGAACTGTAAAGTGCCTTGAGATGACATGTGTTGTATATTGGCGCTATATAAACTAAACTTAATTGAAATTATATAAATAGTATGTAAGTAAAGTGGTGGCAGGTAAAGTGGAGGTTCTGGTCTGTTACATAGATAGATAGTATAAGTTATTGCTGTGTTATTACACCAGGTTATAGTGCAGCGGGATGCAGTGGCACTGTCTGATGGCAGCAGGGATGAATGAACCGCTCCTTTTTACACACTGGGAGTAAAAGTCTGTCACTAAAGGAGCTGCTCACCCCCTCTACAGTCTGGGGCAGAGGGTGAAAGGCGATGTTCATGATGGATGCAATTTTGGACAAGCTGGTCCAAATGGGGATGCACATACTCTGACTCTCACAAAGGAAACCTCAGATGACATCAGAAATGTTTAAATGACATTTAAACAGTAAGCAGTCCATACCTCAGCCCAGCCTGGCATGACCTTTATAATACCTCAGAAAAATAATCATTATGATTCAGAGCAAACATTAACCAAACACATGTGGAAACCTGTTGCTCAACATTAAGAAATTCCTGCAGCAATGTTCCTGGATTGGCACCAAAAATGTTTTTGAGGAGGTTTTGGTTGAATGTTCAGCCCAGTTCCTCTAAATCACCTGGAGCTTTTCCAGCGGAACGTGTCACCCCTTCACTGGGAGCTCTGACCCAACAGTTCAGACAATCCTTCAGGACCCGGCGGGAGTTCTGCTCCAATCCGGAGCTCCCAGCTCAGAGAATTGTTGTGTGTAGAATTTCACTGACACATCCCAGATAACCAAGCTATGATTCCAGTATGCCAGTAATCCCTGTGGACCCAGAGGCCGGCCCAGTCAGCGTTGCGTGGCCCTGACTCTCAGGCACCGGAAGTTTCCAAAGCAGCTGTTATTTCCTTCCAAAATCTTCTATTTTTTTTTTTATCATTGTGTTCATATCTGAGTAGGACAACAATGGCACTATGCAGGTACTCCTGAACTGATGTCGCCATCTAGTGGCAGCTTCTGGTTATAGACGGACCTTTAAGTCATTTTTTTTCAAAGTGTTCCTTTATTTTTATTTTTTTTTAGCAGTGTACAAAAATATTTCTGCCATAATTTAGGATCTATGTAACTTTATTACATAATAAATTTCCATTTATTTTCTAAATTATTTGAACACAAACCTTATATGATGCATATCCATTAGTTTAATAAAAGTTATTCATTTAAATTAATCAACTGTCAGCTTCATGTATTTAGAATTTATCAAGTATACCTGCTGAAAATCACTAGAAATGAAAATTTATTTTCTGATTTGCATAATAATCAGGTGACCTGTCTGCAATTCAAACAATAAACTTCATGCATCAAGTCATTCGTTTTAACCAAAACTCTTAGCTACTAGAGACACCGTCTGCATCAGATAATAATAAATCCTATAATTGTTAGAAAATCACTCAGATTTATTTGATCTGATATTAAAATTGATGTGAAGGTCTGAAACATTTCAGCAGAAATCAGCAAGTTAAAGAAAAAACATCAATGAATCTGAGATCTTCCTTCATTTCACAATAAAAACAGAGAGAAGCAGGAGGCTGAAGCTGCTGTCTTCAACATTTATTTCATCACTTTAAAAACCGTCTGTGGACAATCAGAATATAAATACATCCCTCTGACACACACACACACACACACACACACACACACACACACACACCGACACACACCCTGATTTTAATGTTCAGATGGGCAGCGACAACCTTCGACAAGTGAAAGATCAGAAAACGGCTTACAGGCAGGTCCGTTTACAGAGGGAACACTGGGCCATCGGTACCGCAGGGAAATGGGCCATCGGTAATGAGGGAACACCGGGCCGTCGGTACTGGGGGGAACACTGGGCTGGGCTGTCGGTACCGGAGGGAACTGGGCCGTCGGTACTGGGGGGAACACTGGTCTAGACTCAGAGAATCTCTGAAAGGAGGAACGGTTCTGTAGGTATTTCTGGCTTTTATAAAGGTCAAAGGGATCAGGGGTCTAACCCCCCCACCCCCCCCCCCTGGTTTAGACTTTATCAGAACACTGATCTGAACAGAGGTCCAAAATATTTGAAGAGTTTAAAATGTTGGTTCCAGTTAGCCATCAGGATCCAGAAGTTAATTAGCAGTTCTGGCCTCAGATTAAGAAAAAAAATACGAAAAAAAGTTAGAGAAGCAGAACCTTCTGGGGTGGCATGGATCCACCTGCTGATGTCTAGATGAAACCCAAAGATTTGTCCTTCCTGGCTCATTAATGCAGCTGAACTTGAGCAGAACCTTCATTTCACTGACAGATCGTCTCTGTCAGTGTCTGTAAATCTGCCTGAACCGATTTTAAATCACAGCAAGATGCAGCATTTTCCCAACGTCCTTCTCCTGCTTTCTCACTGAGACTTTGGCCGCAGCTGAAACTTTCTGCAGATCTTCAGGAGATGCCTGAACATCTCCTGAAACATCCACCAGCAACCAAACACTTGCAAGGATCTGCATGTTTCATGACCGAACAGCTTGGAAATCAGTGAAGCTGCAGCGTAATCGGGAATCTGGAAACCAGGCCGGACGTCCTCCAGAGAGAAGCTCTGAAGTCGGACCAGCCGAAGGTTGATGAAACTTTACAGGATTTCATTTAAGGCTTTAAACCCTTCCGACACTAAAAGAAGCATGGCGGAGGCAGCATCATGCTGTGGGCAGATTCAAGAGTCAAGAATTTTGGCAAACTGGGATTTTAATCAAATGTTTGTTTCTTTCTGTGAGGATTAAAAACCTTCTGATGCTACAGGGAGGATCAACGGCAGCAGGAGGATGATGTGAACATGTCTGGAAGCAGCATAAAGCGTGAGTCTGATGCTGCTGAGGATCCCTGTCATAGTGTTTTAATGCTTCTGCACAGATCAGAGGAAAACAGCGGCAGCGGAAAAAACGATGGGACCCCCTGAAGATGTGGAATAACAATCGGATCAAATCCTCCCGGCATCACCAGAGTCTGAGTGATGGAAGTTAGAGAAGCTGGACTAAGTTCCCTCGGTACTTTAAATCCTCCATCAGGGTAAAATGAGGTAAGTGACTCGGTCCTGCTGCGCCTGTAGTGATCAAGCTAGCGCTGCTGATGTATCATGGAGGACGTTCTTTTCCTCCCTGCTCAAAGCCTGTGGAGACGATGTCCTCCCATCTGCTCGGCAGCGGAAGTCTGAGTCTGTCTCCTTCCTCCCGGTGCCAAGAGATCCGACAGTGGAGAGGAAAATCCAAAGAGCTCCGCCTCTTTCTGTCCAGAGCTCCTCCCACAGGAACCCAGAGGAACTTCTGTGGATTTCTCTCTCAGTTTATTAAAGGTTCAAAGCCGATTAGAGGAGGCAAACTCTTCCTCCTGCTCCTCCTCCTCCTCGCTGCCCGTTTCTGTCCTCTGGTTTCTCAGCGTCTGGGTCTGAAGTGCTGGCACCAGGCGGGCGATCTGTTAGGACGCCTTGCCCAGCTCTATCTTCTTCTGGATGGCCCGAGCAGAGTGGTAGACGAGCGAGTCGATCAGTCCTGCCACTGAGAGTCAGAACAAGATGGCTGAGCCTCACAGTCTCCTTTACCGTCAGAATGAAGCAGATTCAAAAGGACTGACCTGTGAAGATGCCTCCGATGATGGCGCAGACTCCCGTCAGGAAGTGCGTGAATGATCTGAAAAAAGAGGAGATCTTTTCAACATTTATACTTCAGGCTGGATTCAAACTCTTTTTTTTTATTGTCAAGCCAGTGACCAACCAAGCTTCCACCTTTCCTTTAGTCATTTTTTAAAGAAACTCTGAAACATTTGGCATTTATTTCTATTCAGCTTCAGTGAATTTCTCCATTTTAAGATCAATTTAATTCTATTCTATCCTTACACCCCTAAAATAAAACAGCAGGTGGATAAATGAATGAAACCAGTCCAGCTTTGTGTAATAAAGCCTGAGTTTAACTGCTGTTTCTAATTGTTGGCTAATTGTTTGCAGGCGTGAGAGGAGAGAGAGCGAAGGGTAGCAGTGGCCAAAAAATAAAAAATAAAAGAGTAAACAGGTGAGCTAGAAAAGTGAATCTAACATAAAAAAAGCAACTAGAGACAAGACATAAATGAACCCAAATGATTAGGAAAGGATTAAACTAATCAAAATAGAAACTAAGGAAACACAGACCAATGATTAAAACTAGAATCAAACCAAAAACACAAACCTTTAAAACACTACTTTTCTTTCTCCATTAAAAAAACTAAACTGGGATAACAAAAATCCTAAACTTTCATAGATAAACCTCACTAAACCTTCATGTTGTTCTTAAAGAAAAACCCTTTTTCTTTCTTTTCCCCTGGAATTAACTGAGTTTAGCGTCTGTTTCTGGCCTCAGAGGTTCTTCAGACCTTTTTTTACCCGTTTACCCCTTTGGACATTTTGTCTCACCATGAGTTTCCCTCACTGTCAAAAGTATGGATTATTGTCCCAAAGTGAAACGTACAATAACTGAAATAAAGACTATTTTAATTAACATTTTATTTTGAGCATTTAGTTCTGCATTTAACCTTTCCATCTTAAATAGAAAACATTAGCATGTTACAGCTTCTTTTTCTATGTCTGCTTCTGTCTCCTTGAACCCCAGTGGGCCTCAGCAGATGGCCGCTCACACTGAGCCTGGTTCTGCTGGAGGTTTCTTCCTGTTAAAAGGGAGTTTTTCCTCTCCACTGTCGCTACAAGCATGCTTAGTGTGAGGGATTGCTGAAGAGTCAATGAGTCGATGCAATCAGCTGGTTTTCCTTAGACAGTAAACTTTGAATGTGAATTGGAGCGATAGAAATAAACTGAATAGAATTGAATATGTTGACTGGAAGTTAATAAGGAATCAAAATAAATAAAAAATAAAATCAGGTTATAAACCTTTATTTTTAAAACTGGAGCAACTCCCTTATAATCAGATTTAAACTTGATGAAGTGGGGGGAAAAAAACATTATAGTCAGACTGACTTCAGGTTTACTTTGTTTTTTTTTATCAAGACAGCTGAGGTGCTTTGATGAGCTCAGTGTGAAAAACAGCTGACTGTTCTCTACATCCAGGCTGTTCCTCTGCTTGGTTTTTGTCAAAGCTGAAGCTAAACTCAAAGAAAAACTTACTTTTTGGTTGATGAAAGCTTGTTTAAACAAAGCAGAACAGATTCCAGCCCGATTTTTCTTCACTAGCTAAGAAATAAAATATTTTCATCTACCAACTGCAATGCCCTCAGAAACCACTAGGGATATGCGTAGCCCTGATTGGGAATCACTGCGTAAGAGAATTTAAATATCAACCAGCATCACGGAGCAAAAGGAACCCAGCAGGTCACAGAGGGAATCCTGCAGATGTTTTAGGCTCTAGGATCCGTCATTTCTACGTGAAGAGAGGATGGACCAACATCATTAAAGAAGCAGCAACTCTGGAGGAGCTGCAGAGATCCACCACTAAGGTGGAGGCTGGTGATGGGTCCAGCAGCATCGATATGTGGAGCCCATAGAGAAAAACACTGTATAGGTGAGCGTATTGTTCCCAGAAAGCCATGTGACCGATACAGGAGTTGTTTCTAACTGACTGAGACACTAAACTGTGTTTAAAAAAGGTTTCTGTCAACATGATGCATCTGCTAAAAAAAAAATCCTCTTTTGCCGTTTATCATTAAAATCATCAAGAATTTTGGAGCCTAAAAGGAATAGGAACGTTTGAGCCGTTGCGTTTTTATTTTAATTTTCTTGTTGTGTCATCCCTTTCAGTTATCACTCAACTTATCTTAATTTCAAACTCACTCTTAGTTTATTTACAGTTTTGACTGTACTAATTATTTAAAAATGATGATTTAAATCCTAGTCCACAAGCATCCTAATTCACATTTGCCACTAAACTATCACAATATGATATATGTTTACATTATTTATTGGCTGCATCGAAAAATATAAAAGATATTTTCAATTTAAACATAGAAACACTGGAAAAACGATCTAGAAATAAGTAGAATTTTCTTAAATTAAGTTTATTTACCCTTAATTTGAGTAAGTAAATGAGATAGTTTGCCAATGGAATCAGTATTTTTACTCTTAAAATAAGATAATTAGATAAAATGCACTTGAAATAAGACAATGCAGTTCTGTGTTCCTATTTTAAGAGTAAATTGCCTTGTTCTATTGGCAAAATGTCACTTTTAACTCCTCAATCCAAGAACAAATATTTATTTATTTAAAGAAAAAATTACTTATCTAGATCTGGATTTTTTCCAGTGTACAATATAACCTGCAGTAACTTAAATTATATCATTGCATAGGGTCATGAAATCAACTGTTTAGTCTGTGAAATAAGCTGCCTGTAGTGTCTTTAAATGTCCAGCAGATGTCAGTATTCGGTGAGAAAGTATCAACGCAGGATCAATACAGTTTTGCAATGTGTCTAAATGCTTCAGATGCCTCATTAACCCATCACTAGTGGACGCCTATCCACAGGGCAGCTATTAGTATTAATTTCAATCATTTAGTCTGTATTAGACTGAGGAGCAGGCATTGAAACAAAGCCATAAGAAGGCCTGTTCAGTTTGCTGCTCTGAGGGAGACAAAAACCACAGGGAGCCAGACTTCACAGCCTACATGAAAGTCTATGTGGGTGAAGGAAAAGCAACACCAAACACAGTGCAGAGTGAACACAGGGGTGGCAGCATCATGCTGGGGGGACAGGGGAGCTGGTTAAATCCTGGGAGGAAACCTGTTTGAGGAGGGGTGCTCAAGTCCAGTCCTTAATAGCTACTATCCTGCAGCTACGATCCTACAGTGGATCTTAATTGTGCCTAAAATGTACATAAAGCGCTAAATAATGTACCATAATAAATACCAGTCTTAAAAGCTTTAGTGGTTTTTATAAGACGGAAAAGAATGACATTAAAAGAACCAGAAATAGCTTTTTAGACCCATTTTTCTTCAATTTAGCTTGAAATTTATGTGTTTTAATATTAGTTCAAAAGCTAAAAATACATGAATTGTCGGTTGTTTAAGATGGAAACGAATTTACTATACGAGATAATAAGGTTTGTTTTTTTTTTTTTAAATCATCTTATACTTTGCAGCTCTAAACAGTTTTTATTTGGTCGGACTCGGGGGGGGAAAATGGCTCTTTGGATATGAAAGGTTGCAGACCCCTGGCCTAGTCAAAGTCCACGCCTAAACCCAATCTCAAACTGTTGTAAGATATGAAACTCTATGTATTAGATACAGCCGCTCTCCAATCTGACTACGTTTGATCTGAAGAAAGATCAAAGATGGCTGAGTGTAAGACCTGCAGCCAGAGGCTGAACTCAGACATCTTTACCATAATGCACTTCTTTGTGTTTATTTTTACATATTATCCAAATAAAACAAATGTAACTTGTGGTTCAAACAAACAACGTGAACAACAGTGAATCATTTTGAAAAAGATTCATAAAGAAGGTTCTGTTTTTCAGCTGTAGATTTCATAAACTGGTCTACAGCTAGAAAAAGCAATGAGGCAGAGTCGGTATCACCAACGTACCTGTGTTTTTCTGTGAACTTCACCATCATGGGTGAAAGCTCATACAGAACAAAGACGCCTGGCAGACCCTGATCGCCTATTAAACCATTGGCGACTTTCTCATGCCTGGTGACAGAAAACTGGTTGGTTTTTACCACCTGGGGGTTACAAAAAAAAGAGAAAAAGACATTAATATGAGCAGCTTGGATTTTAATGGTAAAATATATGGAAAATATGAAAGCAGTGAGAAAATATGACAAAAACAGTTAATTTTCTATTAATTTCAAATGGGCATAAAGTTAATTTAACCCACCTCTCCGTCTGTTTTTACGTAGATTGTCGGGACAATTTTCACAAAATACTGGTACATCATGGATGCTGTGAAGATAAAAACAAAAGGTCAAAATTAAATGAAAATTTCTACAGATTTCATAACTTTTTCAATTCAATTCGGTTTATTTCTATAGCGCCAATTCACATCATGTCATCTCAAGGCACTTTCCAGTTCACCAGATCATCCAGTCAGATTGATCAAAGTTTCTATCTAAGGAAAACCAGCTGAT